TTAAATTGTATTCATCCCGCGAATGCATTCATATCGATGATAGTTTATTGGTTATTACATTTATTATAATGATTATAGATTAGTTGTATTAATTTTTTTGCTACGAAATTGTTGGTAATGATGTGCTATGGATTATTACAACATTTGTAACGTAACAAATCGTAACAATCGTTTACTACGATTCGTAAAATTTGATTTTATGCAACCAAAGCGGAAATTATTTTTGTTTGTTGATACTTTGATACTTTTCCAGACACGTAAGTGCGAACCTAGTAGATCGTTCAATACTGACATTATTGAATATTAGTTTATATGAGGGGGGGGGTAGAAGATAGTGTTATTTACCAGTGGAAAACCTGCGGTGTTATTTATCAGTGGGGAGGCGAGAAGGTGGGTAGACATCAGACACGCGTCATGAAGTTTTTGAAGTAACATAATTCTTCCTGCATCTTTCGCTGCATGATTCGTATAAGCATCTTTCGGTCTCACTGTATAGTATATTTAGATACGGGTGTATAATAAACCATTCAAGCCCTACAAACCATATGAAATTGAATATTACGTATCCTGACCTCCCAATTACAATTTTCAAGGTTGTTTTTCTCAAAAAATATGTTTTTACTTTTTCGAACACTGCTAGATATAAAACACACAAAAATACTTTTAAAATATGACTTGTGGAAAATATTCTAACAACGAAACGATATAGCATTTTGGGTATCATTATTGTACATTTCTTAACTTTCAAACTAACCTTGTGTAAAATTTCTTCTTTGTCGAATTTGTAGGAGATAACTTGCAAGAGTCCGTGTGTCATTCCTTGTGACTGCTTAATACGAGTAGACCTCTCTCAGTTCACTATTCACTGCAAGTGACATTCGACTAGTCTCTGTTTACTGGTAAAGAACTGATAATTTCCCCCTACATTGTTCAAAAAGATTCGAATAGAAATTGGAAGAAAGTTATTTGAGGGTAGAGGTTGAGTATACGTAATACTATTTTGATTTTTTAATGTACGTACAGAGGTAATCAAAAGCTCATTGAATTTATCTTGACAAGGCAAAACGGTTGGCTGTGGAATGTGTCTCCGGAGTGTGTATAAACATCCACGCATATAGTGGCAGTCAATGTCGGTGTTGAGTTAAATGCCACTGAAATGCCGCTGTAACGCGGGCCAGGGACCTGGGTGCAGCGGCGAGGCACCAGGCGGCGCCACAGGCTGTGCCAGAGGTGCAGCATGGGATCTGAAGACCTTCACTCTTCACCGTCGCCATTGTGAAGGGCGGTATCGCACCCTATTCCGGTGTGGGGGTTTGAATGTTTCATGTTTCCGGGCACATCAACTTCTCTGATAATTAATCGCGTAAGTGTGGTGTATGATGTATCATGGAAGGTTGCAGTGATCATACCAGCTGGAGGGTAATATCTAGCGCCGACCTAAACGACGCTTAGATATTTTTTGTTGTATCTCGAGAAAACACAATGTAACAACAATAACAAGTTTTATTCAGCTCACAGGAAAATTTCTTACAAACAAAGATATTCCCTATTAGCCAGAACAATGCCCAGGAGCGAAGCCAAAGTAACAGATGTACCAACAGTGGAGCAGTTGGCAGTTAATCCAATAGGGTGTCCAAAACAATGACAGGTTGAAACCAGTATCCAATCTTAAATAGCTCTCGTATACACGCCGGCCTTCTCGCACGCACTGTTTGCTGCTCCGGTGGCGGTGCCCGGCTTTATTACGGGTCCCCGCATAGCCTCTCGGCTCAGCTGCAGCTGAGCCCGTTGGCCGGCGCCTTTGCTGGTACACCACCCAGATAAACTTCGGGAAAGCTGTTTCGCGCCGTTGTCTCGGTGAGTTTTTGAAATGCCGCATACAGCCGTAACAATTTTCTTATTCTGATATGTCCCACCAGTCGGGCACTGCCTTAGTTGCGACCAGCTCTAAGCTCCTGACTGATCTCTCGTCATGTGTATAGTGTAGTACATGTGAAGTGTACTATGTGTAAGTAAGGGGTGGGAATAGGGCAAGGATTTGGGAGGTAAGATCGCTACTCCTGGAATCGTCTGGTGTTGATCGGCGAAACCACGGAAAACTACCGATCAGAGCAAAGAGTCTCTAGTATTTTTCTTCCGACAGCGGCTGGATTCGATACGTCGGAAATCTTGCCAAAGTAGGGACTCAAACCCTAGGTGCTCTCGATTAGAGGCAGTGCAGTGACATTAGTTGATGCTCTGAGATTCCTCAGCCGGTGGTGTGGGGGTACGTAAGCGCTGCCGGCCCCAGCAGCGCTTGTCCGTTAGGTCCCCCAGTTCGGCACGATGACTGAGCACGGGACGGAGGCGAGAGCAGGATACAAGCGGGAGGCCTCGTGACGGCAGTCTAGAGGGGACTCAAAGCAGTGACAGGTGACGTGGCTGACGGCGAGGAGTTACCGGGCCGCATTGGCAACACCATCAAGGCACGGATGTGCTGTTGTTGGGAGCGACAGGCTCTTGCCGGAATCGCGGAGTGAAATTCGAATATTCTCTGAAAGGCGATTGCAAGAGTCAAGTCAGGACGGGTTAATTATTCTTGTTTTGGGTGTTGTAATGAATTTCAGTATGAAGTGTGAAATAAACTTCTTTTTACGCTTGGCTCACCCAGATAATCACCTGTCCGTTCCCAAGTTCAAAGCATAATATTAGCACAATTATTGCTGGACTATCGTCTCCTATATTATTTCAGTAGCTTTTGCGGCTCTCAAACGCAAACACTCTTTATAAATGAGGTCTCTAAAGAAAGATAATTTCACAGAAACGTGACAAATTGCACTTTGAGTTTAAAAATATGAAGAATGTGTTGAAAAAAACGCAACTTAATATTCACGCCAACCTGCAACACTCGGCTCCATTGTCAAAGTCTATATAGTTAAACAACTCATAAACGAAGCCTTCTAGTGACTTAAAACCTGAGATTTCGAGGCCAATTCCTTCAAAGAAATGTTTCTTACTCAGTAATCTACAGAATGCGATATTCGTGGACGTTCTATTCAATTTTTGCCGGTTCGGTGCTAATCGATACTACCAATGCCACCTTCATTGTGAGGTCATGCTTATAAGGCTTAGATTCCTCTATCTTATAACGTATATCTTAACGGTTATCTTATTTACGTTTTCTGTGTTCCACGTGCTTTGCGTAGATTGATGAGGTTCATTTGCATAATTATTAATTCAAGATTCGCTTTCGTAGCAATAACTAGAAGTACTATTAATAGTTGCTTGATACCGATGAAGATTGTTTCTTATGTGTAGTGCAACCATTAATTTAACATTGTGTCGTGATCTACGCCTTTCTTTCGTCAAAAAAAGGCAAAGTCGGGACGATTGTGTCCAGTGAAGAGTGAAGACTGTGCCTTGATAAGTTTGGTTTGTGTTTTACCTGTATTTTCGTTATTCACAATCATTTGGTGAAATTTTAAGAGAATATTGTATAATTGCTTTAAATATTATTAAGGAAGTGTGAATTGGGTCAAAACATCTCTCTGTAATACTGAATACACTTTTATTGAAAATTTATTTCAAACATCTGTATTGTTTATATTTATGCTAGTTCTGTAACTACATTAAAAGTTAAATTAATACAATTTTTAAACAAATAAACACGTTTCGTTAACAACTTTCCTGCTTTATATATATATATATATATATATAATATATATAGGGATAGCGAAAATATATAGAAGGATAGCGAAAGGGTGGGGTTTAACATACGATATTTCTCGCATGACTGCGCTGGTTGGAATTTAGGAACAATTTTAGAAAAAAAACAACAGGATTTCAGGTGTTTCAAGGCATCTTTGGGTAATGTGCTAGGATTAAACGGTAAAACGCTCTGACTTACTACTCTACCACTGTGGTATAACTTGGATCAATGTTTGTAACCTATAACTTTTTTGCCCTACCCAATCTCCTCCGTTTTGTTCTGCGTTAGGGGCGACGTATCGGCGTTTGGGCCCAGTGTGCGTGAAGCCGCGAGGTCGTGTCGGTCGACGGGCATCGACGGGTCGGCGATGAGGCATCAGCGCCACACGTGCTGCGCCCTCGCGGCCTTGATGCGCACTGAGCGTAAGGGCTGTGCACGCGTGCAGAAGATGGGCTTTCCGGGACGCTTGTTAGTCCTTGGCCTCTAAACCAGACGCTGTTCGTTCCCCATTTGTTTTTGTACGAGACCTCTGGATTTTATAGTTCTCGAAGTGTGAATATTGTACTGTCGTATATTTGTGTTGTCTGGGATATTTTAACATGCCTTTGTAGACTTGTTCGGAGTTTTCAGTACAGCGTGACAAAAACATATTTACATTAAACACTTTAAAATTTAATTTAATTAATTTTTTAATTTAATTTAAATTTCGGGGGACGTATTCACCTTTCTTCTATATTCACTTCTAAACTTTGCTAATAAAATTTGTTTCTAGTGTAGTTTCTGGTCTAAGTAATGTGCAAATGAAGGGTATAAAACAAAGGTTAATAAGTTAGGTGAAAAAATATATTTTTCAGTATTTTGTAGAAAAGATTAAGGAAATTGAGAGGACCACTTTAAAATTTGTTAATATTTGGACGGGGTTTATTGGAAAGTGCAAGTGTCCCTCGAGGAAATCGAGACAATTTTCTTATTTTCCTGAAACAGGTATTTTTATGATTTAGTTCATACTCTACAAATGTTTTCGTTCATTCTTCATTGTTAAGGTTATTACAAATCGAGCAGTAGATCAGAATGATTTTCCATCGTCCATAAAATATGGCTGGTAGTTGAACACTTCTGCAATGCAATCATCACAAAGCATCACAAATTTAAGCAACTGAAATCTTTTTTATTTCAACATTTTTGGACACAAAATTGTGTAATAATATTAATTGTGTAATAATTATAACATGTCGACTTAAACAAAGATTGATATAATAATTATGAAAGTTGTGTAACAAGGAGTCTCAAAGTACTTAGATCTCACAGTCTCTCAAAGAGTGAGGTCCATTATGGTGTTAAATATATCATGTCTGTTTTTTCGAAGTGCTCTAACAGCTGTCGTGCGTGACACATTTGCTTGGGACATAACCATCTCCACATCTTTCTTATCTATTCCGAATAAGTCTTCCAAGCCATCGGATTCACTATCAAGAGATGAGGCCTGCTCGGGGTCTTCAGGCACTTCATTTACCTACAAAAAGATAATAATTACGAGAATATTGATAAAACATAATTATATTTTACTCCTTACATTAAACGACATATTGATGTTAAAGCTAAAAATTGAAAGGGATTACAGTTTCTATTGTGACAAGTAACTATTATTTTTTATAATTTCGAAGGAATTCGCTAGTCATTTAAAATATAATGAACATCTCTCTCTCTCCCTCTCTCTCGCAAATAGAATAAGGGAAGAATAGTCAAGGAAGGAGATAATTAAAATAGAGAAGGGGAGAAGAAAAAGAACTCGGAACGGAGGAGTGAAGAAGAATAGAGAAGGGAGAAGCGAAGAAGAATAGAGAAGGGAGAAGCGAAGAAGAATAGAGAAGGGAGGAGTGAAGAAGAATTCAGAAGGGAGGGGAAAAAAAGAAGGGAAGAACCAAACAAAGAAGACATTGATCAGAAATTCTTTCTCGAAGTGTTGAACTCTCCCAAAAGTGTTGAATCCGCTTCGTACCTTGCCGTCCGCTTCCTTGTTGAGCGGCTGCAGCTTGGCGTCTCCGAACACGAGGTATGTGTCTCCGAGCGGGTACTTGTACACCTCTGGCTTGTCGATGACGTAGGCGGGCTTCTTCCGGCGGCGCAGCACGACGCGCGAGAAGCCGTCCAGGGGCCGAAGGGGCAGCTTGGCCAGCGCCCGGCGCGCGCGCCGCTCCGCCCGCCCCACGCGCGCGTCGCCGGCCAGCTTGAGGCGCGTGCGCCGCCGCAGCGAGTCCCCGGCGCCGCCCGGGTCCGCCCCGGCCTCCCCCTCCGCCTCCTCCTCGCTGCTCTCCTCCGTCACCTGGCGGAAAACCATGCACGGACAGATAAGAGGTCAGCCCTAACGCCATCCGCCTCCTCCTCGTTGCTCTCCTCCGACACCTGGCGGACAACCATGCACGGACAGATAAAAGGTCTGCCCTCTCGCCCTCCGCTCCCTCCTCGCTGTTCTTTTCAGACCCCTGCCGGACAACCATGCGCATACTGACACAGGTCTCCCTCTCTCACCACCGCCTCCCCCTTGCCCTCGTCTTCAGTCTCCTCCTCGCTGCCCTCCCCGGACACCTGGCAGGCAACCATGCACGTACAGATAAAGGTCAGTCCTCTCTCCCCCCGCCGTCTCCTCGTAGCTCTACCTGTCTGGTTGTCTCTAAAGCGTGTGACAACGAATTTTAGTCTCAACTCACTAGAGTCTCCCCGCCTCCCGCTCACCTTCGTAAACATTGTCACAGATACAGATTCTACCCTCTCCCTCACCCTCCAGCTCCTTTACGCTGCTCACTTCGGACACCTTCCAGACAACCACACACAGACAGATTAAGGTCTGCCTGATCTCCCACCACCCTATCCTCTTCGTTGCTCTCTTTAGACATTTTACTGACAACCATACACATACAGAACTGCACTCACTCCTCTTCCACCTCTTACTCACCGCCTTCCCCCTCATCTATCTCTCCACCTTTTCACCCTAAAGCCCTCTCTGCTCTCCATAATAATTTGCAAACAACCACTCAGATACAGATAATGTTTCACCTCTCCATCATTATCCACATCTTTTTTGCTGCTCTCCTCTGACACCTGGCAGACAACCATGTACATGCAGATACACATAAGCTCTCTTTTTGACGCTGCCTCCTTTCTGTCCTTTTAAGACACTTGACAGACAATCATACAGGTAAAAGAATAGATTTTATCCCGTTCCCTTCTCTCTCCTCAATCTCCCTCGCCATAAATTCCCACAATAAGGTTCTCCTCACTTTGAACACTACCATACAGATTCAGATTCAGATTCAGATCCATCTCCCCCACTATCATCCTTTGCCTCCTCGCTGTTGTCCTCGGAATCCCGCCTGGCAACCATACAGATACAGGCCTGACCTCTCTCCCGCCGCCGCCGCCTACTCGCTGCTATACCTGTATGGTTTGTCAGCAAAGTGTTTAACACTCTATCACAACTGTCTAAAGTATACCCGCCTCCCATTCATCCCACCCTCCTTCTTCCTCTAACCCTAAACTCTCTCCTCGCTGCTCTCAACAGACCTTTGCTAACAAACACAAAGATACAGATTCAGTTCCCCCTCTCCTTGTCCGACACCTGTCAGACAACCATGCACATTACTATAGAGGTATGCCCGCTTTCTTGTCGCCGCCTCTTCACTGTTCTGTTGCCACTTAACAGGCGCAGGTTTAGGTCCGCCCTCGCCCATCAGTCCACCTCCTGTTTGCTAAATATGTATGAGCTTTGAGTTGTTTGGTCAGACCTTTGCGTACAAATGTTAAGATAGCAATCGTTATTAGTTTACTTCTTAAATCATTTGGAACTTTTATTCTAAACTTAAGATCAAGAAATTTAATACAATATATTTTTCACACAGGTTGAGAAGACCGGAATGCAGCGTAGAGATGTGTACGTGCTTAACCACACGTATCCCCTTAACCCATGGTCGCGAGAGAAGGACGTCACCGGTAAGTCTGAGCCCGTTCACGGGCTGTCGCGCAAAGTACATACATACATATTTTTCACAAGCCTGACAACCAATAGGTAACTTGTTTCACCTTTCATCGCGCTAAATTAGCAATTACATTTTTAGCAGTTGTACTTTACAATAAAATTTAATTTTATTATAATAGATTTCATGTATTATAATATATATGTACATACGGGTGGATGTGATGTTATATATCTGGGTGTTGCTCGGTTTTTATTTTTGCCATCATTTCTTAAGCAGCTCGAGATAACTCGTTCTGTTCGCCAGGCACGCCTTTGCACATCCTGTCCACTCTTCCCGCTTCGCCCATCCAGTCCGCCCGGTCCGATCTCTCACCTTTTTTCCACGAAAACACTACCAGTCCTACCAACTCACCCCGCTATCCAGCTCTTTTTGTCCGTTCCCGCCGAGTCCGTCAATGCTCGACAAAAAATTCTATCCGGATACATTGTGTATTAGATACTTTCTAGTATCATTTACCTAAACGAAGTAGGAGTAACATATTGATTCTACGAATTCTCCGTTTTTCCTCGTTTTCTGAAAAGTGTTTGCGCACAATTTGAGGAAAAATGTATCAGTAATTCGAACGTTTTTTTCACAAAACACACGCACACGTACTCCTCTCGCACCATTACTTTGTATACTAATATCTAAAACGTATTCATGAAAACGTTACAAAAACAATAAGGAGAGATACGCTAATTAAAATCTGAAAAGATGCCAAAGTCAACTATGATAAAGTAACAAATGGATATGGCTCAATTATTGTTCTTACCACGCACACACTGGTACAAAAGAGAACATGTTTACGTCTCTTGTGGCTTATAGTTTTTATTTAATTTTGTAACGCTTCGATCCATACACGAGTCTTTCAATGGTATTAAGTATTCACATTATCTTCTTTACTGCAGTACTAGTAAAACTAATATCTTTTGTTGTTCTATCACTGTAACTGGAGAGAATTCTTTTGCACATTCCATCTGTCAGTTTCTCAATAAATATTCCATAGTGAAACAGTTTGAGTGAAGATGATGTTAACTCTCAAATTTTTAGTTTTCGTTATATTAATTTTGGCCACTACCATCAGCTGTGGATGCAGTATGTTGGACAAAGACTTAAATTTATGGCTCGTAAGAGTAGGTATCACCCGGTGGTTGTCTTATCTTATATTCCTCTATGTAAATAGTTCATTTTCTTTGATTTCGAGCGAGTGTCTGTGTAGGTTAACGTGTTTTATACTAGATTCTTTAAGTAATTCCAAAAATTATTTATTCTTGTCTAGATTCACCATTTTGTCAATAGTCATCACAATGTTTTGGACACAATGGGGTTAACATTTGGTTAGGTTATGTATGCTCTTTCTAATATGCTCTTTTCTTTTCTGGCCAAGATTATATCGTACCGTTACATATTTAATTATATAGACTCGGAAGATGGGTTCAAGTGTGTTCAACGTGTCATACAAGTCGACCAGGAATATGTTTTAAATTAATTTTCATCATTTTTTGCATCAAGTCTTAAACTAGATCATTTTTCAAGTAATAATTGTTAACTGATTTTACACTCCACAATGTTTTTACTTCTCTGAATCCAGGTATGACATATGTCATCGATATTTTATTATATTATTAAATTCTATTGTTTTAATATTTTAAAGTAATTATACAATTTTGTAAGTATGGATCAAAATTCACAAAAAATAAAATAAATGTTTGGTTATACCAAACCAATATACCAATAAACTGTTGCACACTGCGGGTTGGAATAAACGAAATAAATGGAATAAATGTATTTAATAACAGTTGGTTGAGTCGTCACATATCAAACTCAAATGTATTTTTCTGAAAATACATTACAAATACATAATAAACATGGTTTAATCGACATATAATTCATAATATTTTTTAGTAGTAATATTGGGCTTTGTCATTTTAAGAAGCATTAATCTTACTTTTTGCATACTTTACAGCATCGCTGTGACTTTAGTCATTTTCTACTTTGTGAAGGTTCGTGTAATTAATTTTTAAATTCTATATGCAAAACGAGGTTATACGTAAAATATTAAATAAATACCTCATCTGTGTCCGTGCTACTAGTAGATGTAAAATCGCCAGCCATCGCCTTAGGATCCATAAAGAGAGCAATATTTTCCATTGTGCCACGTTTTTCCGATTGCTTTTATCAGAAGAATAAAAGAAAAAATGTCCTGATAAGCAGCAACTATCCCAATTATGGCACAAATTTGACTCTCTCGCATACGTTTTCACAGATTGTTCTTATGCTTGCTTCAAAAACGTTGCAACAGAATTAACATTTGCTATCGCGAAAAACACGATCAAACGCGTTGTTCGATTTTCTTTGTTTTGTGCATTGGTTTCTTGGAGTCATTAAAAATGTGTAAGAAGTTTTGATTTCGTTTCACGATTGTGTCCATTTTGTAGATTCTTTTTTCAGCATATTTCAACAGTTCTTAAAAAACGGAAATCCATCTTTCGACATTTTGTCTGACAGTAAATTAGTTATCTCCAGTAAATGCAATGATTGATTTAAAGACAATGAAGATCAAACATTACATATTTTGGACGGGACGTCCACTTTTCACAGATCGTCTAGTTAGTACAAATATAGTTTTTAAAAGAAAATAGTATGGTTTTGAATAAAATAGCAATGCCAAAATATTACTATACAGAGTGTTTTTTATATTTAAATGAATAAACAAAAAATAAATATTGCTTTATTTCTACACATGTCAAATATTTATTTGTCCATTTCATTCGCTATGAACCTATTGCGCTCGTAAATGAAGATTTTGGGTGACATTTTTATTTCAAATATTTTTAATAAAGTATGTTCTGGTACCTCCTGATTATGAGTATTGACGACTTCGCTTACACTGTTCTTGCATCTTTAAGCCTCAGTCTTCATCAAGAACGTAGATAGTGCCGTGTAATGGAAATAAAATGATGAAAGAGACATTCGTTCATAGCCTTCGTTTGATCTGAGCAACGATGCACATTTTGTAACATTTTGCGAGGAGCAATTTCTCCTCCGTTTCTTTTTGTCCAATCTACATGTGTTTCATCGGGCCCCTTTCAGACAGACACGACCGGTCGTTTGTTTCCGATGTTATTCTTTATCGAGAAATTTATCGTCGCTCTCTTTTTCAACTTTTCCGCTGATCATTCGGCTTCAATTTCCGTTTGCTGTGAGCGCGGGCGCCCGATAAGAAGTTAATTAAGATGTGCCGATAGTTCGCTCGTAATTTTGATACACGACCGCCGCCACCACAGTCGCCAGCGTCTGCCACCAGGTCGCACGCCAGTCGCCACGCGGACGCGAGTGCTGCTAGCTCGATCACGTGATAAGTGCGGCGACCGCCCCCGCTGTCCCCGTCTGCTTCACAGGCTGTGTCGTCCTGCCCCCTGCCGCCCCCCCCCCCGGCGAACTGATGGACGATCCGACATTCATCGAGAACTCGGCCGTGGAAATCGAAGCCATAAAGTTCCCGCGGGGCGTGGGCGTTCGAGGGGGGGGGGGCGTGGATAACGGCCGGCGATGTATCCACGAGTCTCGCGTGTGTGGACGAAGCAACTTGAAAAAGAACGTCGCTACCACCGCCACCGCGGCTATTGCTGAATGCGACCTTTTATGTGGGTGGACTCTTTGGTGGAGGGTTCTTTGGGCGTTTGGCGGGGAAATTGCTACACGTAATGACATTCTTTGATGCGGAGTTTTCAAATAAAAGCTCGTAGTACTTACATGCACGTTTGTATTTAAGGGGCAATGGAGGCTTGCATGGTTTAAACGAAATAACTCTTGATTTATAATTGATGCCTTATTTTTCGCGTCTGTTTTGATGAAAACATTCACTGAGAAAGCTTTTA